TTAAGATGAAACGTCCAGTTTAAAGCCGATGCTGAGACCGCCCAGACCACTGCTACAGTCTTCCATGCGGTCCCACTCTCACACTCACAGAGAGGACATGGTGACACACACCGCTAATCCAGGCACTCAGAACGCTACTGCAGGATGCCTTTAGAGTTAAGCCATCTTGGGATTTATGAATTTGAAGCCAGTATGGGCTACATAGTAAGACCCAACCTCAAAAAACTAAAAGGCACAGGGAAGAAGAGAAAATGGAATAGTTTCCAAATAAAAAATAAAAAATGAAAGGCTGGGCAGTGGTGGCGCACGCCTTTAATCCCAGCACGTGGGAAGAAGAGGCAGGCGGATCTCTGCAAGTTCGAGGCCAGCCTGGTCTACAGATTGAGTTCCAGGACAACCAAGGCTACACTGAGAAACCTTGTCTCTAAACAAAACAATTTTAAAAAAAACCTTACACAAGGCAGGAAAATGAAAAACAAAAACAGGAAAAGAACAAGAAACAGAAAACAGTAGCAGGTCTGATAGATATCAGTAACAAGAATCATTTTGAGTGCCAATGGTCTTGATGAATCAATTAAAAGAGAGATTGTCAGGATAGACTAAAAATAAAACTGAGCAAATCCTAGTCTGAGGTCTGGAACACAGTTATTTCTGAAAGAATCAAAAGGCTTAGCTTTCCTTAGTTCCCCACTTTGAGTAGAATGTTCCAGAAAACAACTGATAAAATCACCCTGTGAAATGCTTACTGATGTAGGATTAGTTTTCCACCATAAAAATTAATCAAATCATTTGATAACTACACATAAAACACAGACCCAAAATATGATTTATGTATGTAAAGAGATATAAAGTCGCTAATATGAAACAGAACCTCTGTCTACAAATATAATGCTTTTCAAAACTTCATAATATGAAATTTGATCTAGAGCCTAGTCATGTGCTTTGTTCAGCAATGAGGTCAATTACAAATGCAAATATCACAAGCCAGACGAAATCCAGAAAAGCTCTCAAAAGTGCTATCAGTTTTACATTTTGAAAATTACTTAATAAGAAAACAGCCTGTTTCTCCTTTTCAGTCTCAGGATCAACTGTGATATTCCATTATTTCCATTATGCCAATATGGAGACCTGTTCCCGCACCAGGAAATAACGCGATGGACGTCCCACAGTAAGGCACAGGCAGGAGCTTAAAGCGGCCAATGAAACCCGTTCCTGTCAGTCTCAGAAATAAGCCTGTGCAGGCAGCGGACAGGCAAGTGCACTGACTGACCGAATGGACAGGAAACACGGAGGGACAGTTGTCTTCGAATCCTACTGCATTCACAGAAAGAAACACAAATTATCTTAGAAAACAGAAGAAAAGGAAACTAGAGAAAATGTCCACTGTTTTAGTCCTGCATAATTCTGCAGTATCTTAACTTTTATTTCACGGGTTGCTTCTGTTTAAAAATGAAAGGAGGAAGCTAACAACGACAGCATTCTCTGAGCAGAAAGAACATATGACATCCGCGAAACTCTCCGAAACCTTTCCCAGGCAGCTCGTTAACACCACAGGCCCACATAAACGCCCAATTATTGAGCCAAAGTCATGTCCCTCTCAGGCGAACATATTTTTTGCTCCAGAGTCACAATCTCTACACCAATTTCCATTCCACTTACTTTTACTTCCTGCTCATTACTGCTCATCGTCCTCATAGTTCAGTTTGTCAGTTTAATTTTGTGCGGCTTTCTAGGTACCCACAATAATTACAGCAGTTAGCTCTGGACCTCCAGGTGTGGATAACTAGAGCAGTTTAAATGCATATGTCTGGCCAGTCTCTGCCTACCACTTCGACGCCCACACAGCACCCCTGCACACATGCACATAGACACGCACTCAAGCTACCAACACATACTTCATCTTGCTGGCTATTTCCCCATTGCCATACACATTATATCTAACCATGACATTGTTATTGATGCTACAGTGAATAACTAATATATGTAATAAAACATGTACACCACAATGAATCAAAGTGACATACCCACTTGCCAAAGTCCCTCTATTTGTTCTAATCAGATAATGGGTTTTTTTCTTTTCTCTATGTTTTATTATAACCGGAGAAAGTAGCCTCGGAGAAAATATATTTGTAAAATTGTGGGGGGGGGGGGAGGCTTAGTCCACTGAGATTAGAAATGAAGTTTCCAAAAGATGTGTGTCAAATATTTGTTGATTCATCGTTTCTATATGTATTGCATCTGAGCAGACATTTGGAAACATGGAGCCCAAATTTATGAGGAATTGAGGAGGCTGAAATATCACCATAGAGTAGACTTTTATGATTTATCTTGGGGAAAAGCATGTGTTCTCTCTCTCTCTCTCTCTCTCTCTCTCTCTCTCTCTCTCTTTCTCTCTCTCTCTTTTTCCCTCTCTCTCTCTCTCTCTCTCTGATATTATTTCTATGGATGGTGTGCACCTATATGCATGTGTGGAGATACACATGCATGTGTGTCTACATATGTGTGGAGGGTCAACACTGAAATAGAGCATCTTTTCTTCATTGCTCTCCGCCTTTATTTTTGTAGACAGTCTCTCACTGTACCTGAGCTCATGGACTCATCTAGACTGGCTGGCGAATGAACTTCAGAGATCTGCCTGCTCTGCTCCCGAGCCTGTCTGATTCCCACAGGTACTGTCCTAGCTGATGATCTGAACCCAGGATGATGCTCGCCCAGCACACACTTCACCCACTGAACCTTCTCCCTAGCTCTTGATTTCTACTGTAATTTTTTCCTTTTGTGTCTTTTGATTACAAAATAGAATAGCTCGGGAGGAGGGGGCGTATAAGGGATAAAGATCTTTCTGGGCATGTACCAAGGGTCAGAGTGAAAATAATTAGCCAAGAAACAAATGTCAAATGCAACAGATAAAAGAAAAACAGATATAATCAGAATGTTACAGCAAGAATGAATTTTTTTTTTTTTGAGACAGGGATTCTCTGTAGTTTTTGGTGCCTGTCCTAGAACTTGCTCTTGTAGACCAAGCTGGCCTCGAACTCACAGAGATCAGCCAGCCTCTGCCTCCAGAGTGCTGGGATTAAAGGCATGTGCTACCACTGCCCGGCTGCAAGAATGAAATTTACATTTAGAAGGTAAGCATAAATCTGGACATGTGCTATTAGTATGTACATTTATTTCCCAAAATCTACGGTGTATCAAGTATCAACTATGAGATGTGTAACAACTCACTTGCTGTTCTGAGCTGTTTATTACTGGTAATTGAGCATGGTGACAGTAGTCAAGTTATACAAGGTTCTAAAAAGTTAAATGGAATAAGTTAGCACCTAGCACCCAGCAGATAGCTAACAAGTATTAGCTCTCAGCACCCAGCAGATACCTAACAGATGGTGGCTCTTATCAGTGCAGGCTCAGAAACTGAAGCCTGACCTTGTGTTTCCTATGATATAATTTAACTAGAAAGTGGCAGAAGTAACATCAGAACTCAGATCCTCTGATAATTTTGTATATGGAGTCTCTTCCATTGAGATCATCTTGTTTGCATTCTGAAGAGACTAATTTCAAAGGCAAAAATTAGATGGCAGAAAAACCCCTGAGAATAATGGTCTAGATTCCAAAGGAAGAAAGAACAACTACACGTAAGTGCCTGTGCACATAAACACACAGCAAGCACACACACATCCCAAAATATGAATGAGGATGGGATGACCCAGACACAAAAGTTTCAATAAGACTTTTTAATGATCTAATTCACTAGAGCATAATTATACCTCTTATTAAATGATTAATTAATCCAAAGACTCAGAGAAAAGGTCATGCTGAATGTTAATTATACATCCTTAAAAGAATTCCAAAGATATTAACAACCATATTCATTACAAATTAATTTAATCTTTAGGAAGGCAGTTTGGCATTATCTTTAAAAATTCAAAATGCATATATCCTTCTACCAAAAAATATAATTAGAAATTTATCATGAAAATAATTTTTAGAAGTATACAAAAACCTAAAAAATGTTGGGTATATTATTAATAATAACAAGTTTGGGAGAAAATCTAAACATTCATTAATAAGAAAATTATGATAATTGCAAATATATCTATGTGTTTATGTGTATATGTATATATATGTGTGTATATACAAATAGATATATAAAATGAAATATATTTGGTGATACAAAATAGTCTCTAAATATGAAAAAAGAAATCAAGACATGGAAGAACCAGAACCAAAACAACCTGTATCTACTTTTATAAACATATATAGATTTTCAAATATGTCCGTACAAAAACCTTAACAGTGGTATGATGGTTTAAACTGAAACACACCACCAAATGTGTGGGCTTTAAAGTACAGGCTGGACCCGCGGCTGGTGCTACCGGTAGCTGACTGGATCACAAGGGCACTAATGTCACCAGTGAAATAATCCACTGAATTCACAGCTAAAGGGGGGACTAGGAGAAGTGCTGGGGGAGAAGTGGTCCCCGGTGCCTGGCTTTGACTATTTGCCCTAACAGGAACATATATGTAATTATGCCTGTCTCTATCTCTCTCCCTTTTACCCTTCCTTCCTTTCCCTCCTTTTTCTTTTTTCTTTTTTCTTTTTTCTTTTTTTTTGGTTTGTTTGTTGTTTGCTTGTTTGGGTGTTCTGTTGTTTTGTTTTTCGAGACAGGGTTTCTCTGTGTAGCTTTGGAGCCTGTCCTAGAACTAGCTCTTGTAAACCAGGCTGGCCTCGAACTCACAGAGATTCACCTGCCTCTGCCTCCCAAGTGCTGAAATTAAAGGTGTGCACCAGACTCCTTCCCTCCTTCCTTGACAAAGCCTATTCAAACTACACAAATATTAAATTTAAAACTGAAAGAAAATAACAAGTAAAACAATCACCATTTTGGTTTTGTTTTTAAAAAGATGAAAAGGGGAGCAGACAATGGCCATGGGTGTGACCGAGAACAGACGCACAGGAGGACGATCTGAACCTTGCCCCAACAGCTCAGGAGTCTTACCTGACACTTGGCACTGCAGTATTTGGCGATTCGGCACTGAGAACACCGCATCAGTTTTTCCTTCCTGTTGGAAACAAATGAGAAACATGTACAACTGAGCAAAGAAAACACAAATCGGCACGCTGATACCACTAGTTCTGCAGAGTCCTCACATAGGAGGCGTTAAGACTTAGACTTATTTTTTTTTTTTTAGGGGGCTATAGCAATGCTTGCTGCTCAAGCATGAGGACTGAGCTTGGAATCTAAGCACCCACATAAAAGCTGGGTTTGGCGGTGTGCACGTTTATCCCTAGTGCTTGCAAGAGCAGAAGCCAGGTGGATCCCCAAACATGCTGGCTACTGTCAGGCAGCCCAAACAGTGAGATCTAAGTTCAATGAGAGATCCTGTCTCAAAAACAAGGTGGAAAGCATTAAAGGAAGCCTGGCTTCTATGCACATGCACAAAGAGGCATATTTGGATGTGTGTGTGTGTGTGTGTGTGTGTGTGTGTGTGTGCGCGCACACACACACACACACACACACACACGGGGCTGTGGTATCAGGTTGTAATACAGCTATTTCCTCTCAGTTTGATGAACATCTCCATCTTGATGTAGAGCGGCTATGATGACCCTCGAGAGATCCAGCCTATTAATCCCTCACACAGGGAGAAGACCAGATTATGAGGTTGAGGAGATCCCGTCAGATTCATCCCTTCCCTCAGAATTCCAATCACCACCACATGAGTAGAGGGTTGAATAAGTCAGGGCTTCTCTGTGGCCCTAGCCACTTAAAGGCCACCTACAGGCCACCTAGTGGATATCCTGATGTAGCTGATTGTGAGTCACCCGGGTTCCTGTAAGTCACCTCAACAAATTCACCAGTTCAGCAGGCCAGGCTTGGGTGGAATCCTTTCTTTAGTTTTCATTGCCCTCTCTATCTTAGGTGAATAGTTTCACACACACACCCAAAGAAAAGGACATACAACAAAGATATTCAACATAATTTTAACATGCTAACCAATTTAAAACATGGTGCAGAGGCATTAAGAAAATTCACATCTGGGGTCTAAGGACATAGCTCACTCAGTGCCTAATATGTATGTATGAAGTCGGAAATTCAACCCCTACTAACAACAAAAAAACAGACTATTTACACATTGTACAATCAACATTACTGCTAATTTTCTTTTCAAGCTAAATCTAATTGATATATAACAATATTCCTATCAGAAAACTTCTATTCACAGGAACATTTCTCTCTCCATAGGGAACCCCAGGTCAATACATCACCTAGACAAAGTACAGACTGGGCTTCTCTTATCTGAAATGTCTGGAACAAGACAAGCGTTTAGGATTTGAGATTTTCCTGGTTACAGTATTTTAATTGAGATGAGATGATTTAGAGCTGGGAACCAATTCTAGACACAAATGTCACTTCCATTTCTCACATACTTTGTGCAGAGAGCCTGAAGTGACTGCATTTTCAGTATACTTGTGACTGAACGCAACCTGATACACTTGGTCAGCACGGGATTTTCCCTCAGCGTGTGAATGTTCAAAATGTCTCAGACTTTAGAGCAATTTAGGTTTTTCAATCATCTGATTGTGGATTCCCAAACTGTATTCTGTACACTTCAAATATAAAAAGACAAATTATGAGTCATCTCCCCAGATCGCCGAAATCATACATCCTAGGTACGAAGCTTATCGAGCTTCATAACATAGACTCCTGCTAAGAAATGATTTAGAAACTCCATTAAATCCCACTTCAGACAGGCAGGATTAGGACTGAGATGCATCAGAGCTGTTTTTCCCAAGTCACCTGAGCAACTACTACAACAAAATCAGACATTTAAAAGACCAAACCATAAAATTAAAAGAGCAAGTCTAGTAACATTAATGGTGACCAACAAAGAGAAGACAGTGAACTGGTGGACAGAGCCCCGGCAGGTCAAAGCACCAACGGTCAGAATATAACAAAGTCAATGGGAAAACAGAAAGACTCAGTGTGAGCATTTACTGGTGTGCTGGGCACGGTACCATGCTCTGTTCATCTAACGCATGCTTAACTTGGAAGAGTCCTCTAAGATGAACAGCCTTACTGTGTCCACTTTGGAGATATTTAATATATTTTGAAGAGATCAAAAGTAGATGCTAGCTGGGTGTGGTAGCATATACCTTTAAACCCAGCAGAGACAGAGGCAGGGTTATATCTGTGATGAACCAGTGTGGTCTACATAGTGAGACGACAACCAGAGCTACATGTGAGATCCTGTCTTAAAAAATAAAAATAAATAAATGAGAGAGAGAGAGAGAGAGAGAGAGAGATGCTACAGTAGAAATTAGCTAGGGAAGCATGAGGTGACCGTGCCATGTGACTCTGCGAGGTGACAACAACCTTACTGAAAATGAGAACTTGATCATCCGCTACCTTTCCACTGGAGGACCTGGCTGAGAGCAGGGCATGGCATGGAGAGATGCCATGGAAAGAAGGGTAAAAGGGGAGCTGCCAAATTCTACACACTAAACAGCAAACCAAACCAACCGACCTGGCCTGAATTTTGCTTCTAACCATTCAATTCTACTGCCACTTATGAAGAAAACTGGAGAAAAATTGAATTTACTCATGCTTCAAACCAAAAAGCACGCAAGATGAGAAGAGAAGGCCACATCAGGCAAACTATAAAAAAAAGCCCATGTGGTCAGATCAATATCAGGAAAAGGTTAAAAGAATCATAAGAGATAAAGGAGGTCAAGGGGTAATGATAAAAGACCCCAGCCACTCACTAGCTGTCATGTATCCAGTAACAAATATATCAAGTCTCAAAATATATAGAGTACAAATAATGGACCTTTAAGAGAAAAAATGAACAACACACAATTAGGTTAATATTTGGAAAGACCTTAAAACAATGTCTGGAATACAGGAAGCACCATGCAAGATGTAGTTATTATATAAAAATATATAATAATGTATATAAAATGTACAATAATGTATATGAAAATACAGACGCTCTACTGGAGATTCACTGACCAAGCAAATAAGAAAAAAGTAACTCGGTGAGTCACCTGCACCTATCATGTGGCTGTGTCGTCACATGACTTTTTCTAGTATCACTGGCCACTCCCAAAAAGTACCCAGGAGAATAAATAGTACCAGTCATTTTCTCTACCAATGGAGAGATTAGAAAACATTTTTTTTCAAGACAGGGTTTCTCTGTAGCTTTTGGGCCTGTCCTGGAACTAGCTCAGTAGACCAGGCTGGCCTTGAACTCATGGAGATCGGTCTGCCTCTGCCTCCCACGTGCTGGGATTAAAGGCGTGCGCCACCATGCCCAGCTTAGAGAACATTTTTTAAACATACTTTTTCCCAAAGATTTATTATTTGTTATGTTTACAGTGTTCTGCCTGCAGGCCAGAAGAGGACACCAGATCTCATTACAGATGGTTGTGAGCCACCATGTGGTTGCTGGGAATTGAACTCAGGACCTCTGGAAGAACAGCAGAGCCATCTCCCTAAAAAATGTTTTTTAAGAAAAGCAATAAAGTCTCTTCTGGGTATGTGAGACACGCTTCTATATTGTCTGAGGAGCAGAGGAGTCACGATGAAAATTAGGGGACATATTTTAAGTAAATAATGAGGGAAATACCCAAACTTGTACTAAAATAATACAGAAAAATTTTAACTTTAAATATTCATGTAAAAGAAGAAAAGCTGAAACTAAATGGACTGAACATGCAAATCAAGAATTTAAATTAGAGCCAGATAGTGGTGCACATCTGTGATCCAGGCACTCAGGAGATGGAGGCAGGAGGATTACCTCTGAGGAACTATCTCAAAACACAAACAAACAAATAACAAGAAAAAAAACATTTTATAATAATAGAAATCCAACAAAGGCAGAAAGTAAAAACTAAAATTGTATGGCAAATGTTTTCAATGAAACTGTACACAACACTACAACAGAATGAATCAGCAAGCAAGAAAGAAAATGTTACCCAGTAACTCCTGTAAGGATGTTAGGAATAAGTAGGACTGTAACCCAAGATTCAGTCGTGATTTGAAACAACGCTGGGGAAACAACAGCTGTAAGGGGACTTTCGGTCTCCAGACTCGGCCACCGGCTCTCACACTGGTCACCTTCATCTACAACAAACTCAAAATACAAGCTCTCAGATCTGACTTAAGTCAACGGCTATAATTATAGGAGGAAATAAGAGTAAACAGTCAGTCTTGTTTCTCTTTGTCTACCTCATTCAGAGGTTACTTCTGTTGCCTGGAAATAAGGATTCCCAACTACACAAAGTTCTGGTGTTTACTTCTAAGAAATAGTGAATGGAATCGAGATATCGACGAATATTAGTGATGAACGGCGGCCAGGACCACACCTGCTCCACCGCCCTTCCACAGCTCCCAACTAGGCAAGATGACCCAGGCAACAGAATAGTTCAACTGCTGCTTGCTTTGGCCAGAAATTCCACCATGAAGCCATCAGATGGTCACAATTTTTATAAACAAATAAATAGATTTTAATTCTCAAGTTCCAAAAACAAAGCTAACTGAATCTAAGGAAAACTGTGAGTTCTTGTTTAGAGCAGCCAGGGGTTCCAAGTAGAGTCCCACTTTCCTCTTGGAGTGCACTTAGATGCTGGGGGTAAGGACCCCTGCTGAGAAGCTCTTGAACAACAGAAGAAAAAGGAGGAAGACGAAGAATCAAGGCCTGCAGGCATTTTAGAAAACATTCTCCTCTCTCTCTCTCTCTCTCTTTTAAGCCCATCAAATGAGAAACAAAGCTGCACTTCTTGAAAGCAGCAGCGAGAAATGCATACATCAAATCAAAACCAGAAATAACTAGTAATCTTTCAGAAAAGAGACCGCTTATTTTAGGCAATTCCTGGGACTAAAAGGAGAAACACTGAATGAAAATGAACGAAGAACAGGTTTTTATGTAAATCGTGAGGCTTTTTCTAAATGTGGCAAAGCACAAGCAAAATGCCCTAGAAGTCTGAGGCTCCTGGTGACTCCATGTGCCCGCGGAGAACCTGCTGGGCGTGAAGGAACCACAGCACCGCCAAGGGCAAA